GCACACACTGGAATGTGTCTGGAGGGGAAAGAGGAAAGAAAGGGAGAAGGATAAGGAAGAAGGATTTTATATATACACTTGTGTATCATTAAACTTTGCAGGGAAAAATTCTGTTGGTTTGGGCTTGTTTTTTTTCCTAATAATATACACAAGGCATTTGAATAACAAAGTAACAGTCCTTTGCACTGGGAAAAAGATTGCTGCGCACACACACACAAAATAAAAATAGTTGGGATTTTGTTACGCTGTTGTTGGCTTGGTGTGTGTGGTTTTATTTGCAGTTGGTTTTTTCCTTCTCTCCTGCTACAAGCATGGTCACGACAAACCAACCCCTAGTCTAGAAGAGCTAGGAAGTGTTTAGGACAGGTCTGGAATACACACCTTGGTAGTAGGCCGGTTCCAGGGCTGAGGGCTCGATAGGGCTCCTGGTGGCCACCGAGGCGCTGCCCAGTGGCAGGCTGGCGGGCAATGCAGCGCTGTAGGGTGAGTACTGAAGCGCCTGCTCGTAAGCCTTGAAGTCCAGCTTGTGCTGCTGATCCGAGGACATGAGGTTGTTGATGGAGAAAGGGTGGTTGAAGGAGTAATGGGGGTCCCCTTTCAGGTGCAGCTGGGACTCGTGGGGTGCCAGGCCATGCACTGGGTGGGAGGGGGGCACAGATACCAGTGCCCCAGGCCCCGAGCTGATTGGGGGCGCAGCTGAGGAGGCTGGAGTCTTCAACTCCGCGGCGCCCCCTGTCGCCGTCGCCCCACTGTGGTCTAGAGTCTGGGGGCTGGAGGCAGGCCCCGAGGCCGCTGCGCCCTCTAGTTGGCTGGCCTTACCGTGCACGCCCCGATGAAGGGGTGAGTCGCCACTGCCATTGGCAGCGGCAGAGGGGTCCTTCCGGCTCTCAGGGCCACCCTTGGCACCACCACTGGCCCCACTCCCGCCCCCGGCCCCTGGCTGCTTCTCGCACTTGAAGCGCTTCTGGCGGCGCAAGTAACAGCCGTTTTCGAACATGTTGCCAGAGTCCGGGTGCAGCGTCCAGTAGGAACCCTTGCCCGGCTTGTCGGGGGAGCGGGCCACTTTGACGAAGCAGTCGTTGAAGGAGAGCGAGTGGCGGATGGAGTTCTGCCAACGCTGCTGGTTCTGCCGGTAATAGGGAAAGAGGTCCATGATCCACTGGTAGATCTCGCTCAGCGTCAGCATCTTGCTGGGGGCCTGCTGGATGGCCATGGTGATGAGCGAGATGTAAGAGTAGGGCGGCTTGGCATGCGGGTAGCTGCGCTTGAAAGTCTTGGCGTCGCCACTGCCCCCAGCCCGGCTGCGGCCCAGATTAGACGGCGCGTATGCCATGGGGCTCATGCAGGGGTTCATGGCCGCGGCGTAGGGGCCCAGGCCATTCATAGAGGCCGCAGGCTGCGCGCCCATGGCACCCATGCCGCCAGGGCTCAGCGTCGTCCCCATGGCTGTCACTCCCGCCGCTGTCATGCTGTTCATGGCGCCCGCGGAGCCCCCAGGCATGCCTGCCACAGTGCCGGGGCTCAGGCCGGCGCCCAGGCCCGGGTTTGCGTATGACATGTTGAATGAGGCTGGGGTCATGTTGCCACTCGTGGTCATGGTGTTCATGGTCATGTAGGTGTTCATGGAATTCATGGAGCTCAAGCCCGAGTTCATGTTGCTGACCGGGACCGAGGTGTAGGCCTGGAGTGGAGAAAGTGAGTGAAGAGGCCCCAAAGGCAGGCTTAACAGTGTGCGAACCCCAAGATGAGAGGAGAGCAGTTCTGTAAAGCATAGTACCCCCTACCCAGGGCAAACGGTCAGGCAACCTCCCCAGACCCAGCAAAGAGATGTCTCGCACCGCAGGGAAGAATCCTAGCGTGGCAGGCATGAAAGACAAGCACTCACAGAAAATGTTCTCCCAGGAAGATGTGTAATCGCCTTACAAGGCCAGTCTCAGGGGTTGGCTTCTAGGGTCCCCCCTCCCAGCCTCCACCCCGGACTTCCTCCGCAAACTAAGTGCCCCTTTGGTTAAAAGAAGTTAAAACTCCAAAAGCGGAATTAATCTTTGACCCTCTGGTAATTCACTCCACCTTAACGGTAATTTTGGCCACTCAGCCCCTGGGGCGGACAACAGGGCACTCGTCTCACCCAAACCTGACAGGCTAGCTGACCACATATCTGCAGATTCAGATCTGCAGGGTAGCTACTAATTAAACTCTCCTTCACACAGTAAAGCATTCATGGCCATATGACCATCCATTTCCCAACAACTGGCTTTACTGTCTTAGCAGTTTTTGACAAATGGTGCTTTTTTTGTTATTATATTCAGAAGTAATATTTTCCATCTACCTGTAGCAACTATAATATTAAGATGGTTAGAAGCTCAGAGGTTAAATAAGTTTTGGCAAAAAATTAAAAATAGACCTACAATAGGAAAAGGGGCAGGAAAGGTTGCATAATAATATCCATGTACCGCAAGCATTTAACTTTACTATGACTTTACATGTATAATTAAGCAAGAACTTCCACTAATGTAATTATGTATTTCCAGGCCCCTAATGTTTGAAAATGTTGTGACACAATTTGTTGAAATAATCGTGTCTTTTTTTTACCTCCACATATGGATTATGTTGCTGCTGATCATTTCAAACCCTGGCTAATAGTCTCAAATACTTTAAAATTCCAAAATCAAAGTCTACTCATTATCTACTTCCCAATGCTGAGCTTTAAACCTGTAAGGAAGTTCTTTTTCCATAGAGGGCTTCAATTGACGAGTGGGTGAAGATGAGTGCACCTAAATTAAACCTGGGGAAGAGTTGCAAATTCCTTTTAAAATCACCAGTAGGAGAAAAGCCTTATCAATAGCAATTTTGGAATGCACTAGATATGTTAAAAACATAGAGGCTAGAAATATAAAAGCTACTTCTCTAATAATTAATAAAAATAATGTTATCCTTGAACTTATTATCAGAAAATATGACTTCATTTTAAAACAAAAGGTGAACAGATTTAACTAGGCATACACTCAGCTATGGTATGCAGATGAACTCGAGGTAAATTTGTGAAATATATATTTACAAATCTAAATAAATTAACATGAAAATATTTCCCGATTCCACATTTGTCCGTCCAAGTCTTAAACTATTTTTCACCGTTTTTTCTTTTGCTCTCCCTAAGATCGTCCAAGGCAGTTTCAATAAGCATGTTCAATAATGGTAAACTTTTGGGGGGGTAATCGCCAGCTGTTTCAAGAGAAATTTATTGGTGGTGGTCCTGCCTGTACCTGATTTTCCTCTCAATCCCTTTGTGCACATTGTAAAATAAACTACATGAACGTGCAACCATGGGGACAATGAAGAGAAATAGGTTCTCCACTCGCAGTGCTGGAGGAAAAGTCAGCTCGCACCAGCGCCACCCAGCGGTTCTAGAGAAGAATGAGAATGAGCACACCTCCCCAAACAGGGCTTTTGAAGAAGTTTTATAAAATTTCGGAGCCTGTTCTTATTAGGGTTTTCAACTCAGAGGCAGCGCCTTTTCATCAGAAGATATCTGCGAATTTATCCGCGGGAGAAAGAAGTCGCCTTTGTAGGCAATCTTTGGCTTTCTCAGGTGGCTTCCAACTCGTGCCAGCGCCCGCCCGACAACCCACGGCACCTCGGGCCCAGCTCCGGCTCCCTGAAGGAAAAGGCTAGTGCTTCCCAGAGCGGGTGCCTTCAGCGCCCAGAATATCCTGAAATCCTTTCGCCCGCTCTGAGCGCCGAGTGCCGGGTCCCGGCCTCCCTCGCGGGGCACCGGCTCCGGCTCCGAGGCCCGGCCAAGGCCAGGCCCGGGCCACACCAGGTGGGCGGGCAGCGGTGGCACGGAGAAGGCGCCCCCATCCCGCGGACCCTCCGACCTGCCCAGCGTCCGCCTGGCCCGGCCTCCCCCTGCACCGGCCCCCGGGGCGTCCCGCCTGCTGCCCGTCTCTCACCTCCTGTGTGTCCGCGTAGTAGCTGTTCCAGTCGCTGCTCTCATGCCCTTCCATCTTCACAGTTCCTAACATCCTGGAGCCACCGTGCCCGATGCAACCGTACAGCCCAGTGCAAAGCGACGGGCGGCCGCGCGGCGCGGGGCGGGGGGGCAGGAAGCGGAGCGGCCACAGTCACCCGAGCGCCCGCGCCGGCCCAACGCCACCTTAGCGAGGAGGAAGCCAGGCGCTGCGGGGCGCGGCGTGCGCGGTGGCGGCGGCGGCGGCGGCGGCGGCGGCGCGGCGGGCGGGGGCAGGAGGCGGCCGCGGAGCGCGGCGCCCGGGAGCGCCTCCGCGGGAAGTGAGCGGGCGGCCTCTGTGAGACGGGTGCAGTTGAGCTGATGTGGATCTTACGTCGCTCGAGTGCCCACCTCCTCGTCCTCTCCCCATTTGTCCGCCGCACAAAGACGCTCGCACCTACAAAGCCTGAGGTGCACCTGCGAGGCGGCCGCCCGCCAGTACAGCCGCCGCGCCTCCCGCCCAGCGGCGGCGCCGCAGCGCGCGCCCCCCTGAGCCCCCTCCCGCCGGGCCCCCTCCCCCAAACCCGGCCCTCACTTTGTTTGCAAAGCAGCGTAATTGGTTTAAGCCGGGAGGCTGGGGGAAGAGGGAAGTGGGGTGGGGGTGGGGTGTAACCCCCTTTGGAAGCGGAAAAAAGAAAACTGGGCGGGGCGGGCGAGCTAGCGAGGATCCACGACGAGACCCGCTCGGCCGGAGAAGGGCTGGGGGCGGTGCCGTTGGAGCCCCGGCTCCCGGGGAAGTGCCGACTAAACGGCCCAGGGTCTCTCCCCCGGGGGACCCGCCGCCCTTTGGATGCCCGGGCAGCACCTCGTCCTGTGCCCTTCCTGCTCTTCTGCCCGCTTCCAGCCCCCACTCTCCTGATTCTTGACCAACTCCGGGAGACGGGAGAATACAGACACCCACCTCCCGCCCCGCCGGACTTCAGGCGTGAAAAAGGAAAAAGCCCCACTTCTGCCCCTTCACTAGAAACTCGGCCATCTGAGTCAGCCGAGCAGAGTGACGTTAGGCCGATCCCGGCCCCGGCTAGCAGAGCGGAGACGCTGCCACGAAACCCGTACCTGCGGCTAAGAGCAGGTGAGTCATAGCACCGTTTTATACCTTTATGGCAAAACTTTTTTTTTTCCGCCTCGGTACGCTCTACTCCCCTTGTCATCTGTAGCAATCATAAAGAGGAAGAAACTGAGAACAGATGTCTCTGTGATAGGGCAGGCGGACCTGAGTCGGGCCGTCCTCCCTCTGCCCAGCTCCTCCTCCTCCCACCCCCCTCTTCGCAGTCTCGGGGAATGAGCTGGAGGCGGCTGTCCGGTTTCTGATAGGGAAAGGTCAGGGGGAGGGGACATCTCCCTAAATTAGCGCGTTAGCTGGGAGAGCCTGGGCGCTGGTACCGGAATGCAACTGCTCTGCTAGACAGGTGCCAAACCGAAGTCAGCAGTGGTCTTCGGCGCCGTCTGGTCCTATCTCCGGCTTGGAGGGGCCAGGCTAGGACACCAGGTGCTGGTTTAGTTCCTATCGGTCCCGGACATCGATGGGAAGCTCTCTCCCAAGCAAAGTCTCTCGGCTCCTGTGAAGCTCTGGGTAGTGGACTGCCAAGTCCTCAGGAGTACCAGCCAGAGTGACTGGGTGATAGGCACTGAGTTGGTGATAGGTTGCGTGAATGTGTTTTTGACCGTGTGTGTTTCTCGTGTGACCCTGTGTGTTTCTGAGTGTGTCGTACCCTCTGTAGAATCACTAGGTTTCTTTACGTGGCAATAAAATCTTTCTAAAATGACTAAAAGTCCACAAAATTCTTGTTTGGCAAAGTTTTAAAAATGTTATTCGTCTCATTTTGAGAAATATGTTTTAATTTGTCTTCCAAACAGGTACCTTCCCTACTCCCCTCTACCCCTTTGTTCTTTTAAATCTTTCTTCCTTGAAATCTGGCAACAGAATCAGGTTTAATCCTTGAACCAAACAAATCTCTTAAATCAGCAGGGGAGCAGAAGAGGGTGAAGATGCGCAGTTAAGGAAATTAAAAAAAGATAAAAGCATTGGGTTACAATTCATTTTTTTTTTTTACAAAAAGGGGGGAAGACGTCACATTGTAAGGAAAGCAGTGAGAGTGAAATTAAACCCACTTGGAAAACCTAAGCGCAGGAGCCCTCTCTAAATGCAGCCTGCCCCTGTAACCCCAAGTCCGCCCCATCGATTTGTGTGAATGTGTCTGTAAATGTGTGGGTCTGCACATATTTCCCATCAACTGCCGGACCTTAGTTGAATTTGTAAAGAACACGGATGCTTTGCTTCCTGTTACTGAGCCGGGGGAGCCAGGGGTTGGGGTGGGTGCGGGCGTTAATTAGCTTCCTTGTTCATTCCGCCTTGATACTCAAACGCCCTTTTGCCTCTCCAACAACCTCGAACATGACTAGGGTATTTTTCAATGGGTAGTGACAACTTAGTAAAGCTTTTATGGTGCACAAGAAGCTGGTGCTTTAAGAGGAAGGAAAAACACCAGTGTCACCTTAAAGGGGTTCAGTGAAAGGAATCAGGTATTTTTCCTCTTATCCCATTTTCCAAACCTGCTAAGGCCTCATCTCAAAAAAAAAAGAAAAAAGAAAAAAGAAAAAGAAAAAGAAAAGAAAAAGTCAACTTAAAAATAAATAAATAACCCCCCTGGTTCATAGCGGGATAGCCAAAGCGAAGTTTCTCCAGAGCTTCCTCAAAGCCCAAGGCAATAAACCGTGAACTCGGCCAGCTTTAGAGCCGAGCGGTGATCCAGCTTGGCAGTTCCGAGGCCCGCGGTCACAGAATTACAGGGATCACAGCGCCTCCTGTCGTGGGTGGGAACCCTGAGTCCGTCCGCCGGCTAGTGAGCTTCACCGCGGGAGGCTGCAAACTCCCGTGCCTCCTCGGCCAGATACTTTGGTTCACACAGATGAGTGACTGCTCAAGGCCTAGAAGGAAAGGTGGCAGTTCGGCTAGCCCCCAGTCTGTCTCCATCTCAGTGGCGGCATTCCAAGATACTGAACAAATTTAGGAGGTGAAGGTTTAGTGTACCCAGATGTCAGCTAGTCATTTCCTCCAGGTTTAAAAAGCGAATCACCTGGGCCATGCTGGGTCTTTGATTTGGAAAATAAACAATAAGTAAAAAAATAAAGCAAAGTCGATGCCTCCCGGTTGCTGGCCAGTCGGCAGCCAGGTGGCAAGCCTCGCCGCTGCAGCCGGTTGCTTTCCAGCCTCTTTTCCCAAATAGACCGTGTCTGTACGCTTCGCAGGAGACTGTGCCGCGTTTTCCCGGGAACTGGACCTGTTTTCAGCCTTGGGGAGCCACGAGGGCAGCCACGTGGCAGCTCCTGGGGAGTTCCAAGCCAAAGTCCTCAGGGCGAGAACGGGTCTGCGCGAGCCTGGGGCAGCCCAGGCAGAGACCCCGGAGCGGTCAGGGCGGTGGGGTGCGCGGGGCTCCGTTGCCCGGGAGCGAGCGGCTCCGCCTTCCCGGAAGCCGCGCCTTCTACGCCCTCGGGGTCGGCTCCCGGGGTGGTCTCCGAGTGCCAGCAGGTAGCCCGCGGTCCGGGGGCCGACCTCTGCCACCTCCGCGTCCCTTTTCCAGCTTTACCTGGCTAGGAGCCGCTTCCACAGATGGTCGCCGGGGAGGGAGAAGCGGAGGGTGACGACGGCAGGAGGCTGGCGCAAGGCCGCAGGCGTGCGCCTCGGGTCCCGCCGGCTGCCTGGGGGCGGCGCCGGGGTCTTTCCCTTTTAGCTGGACGCCAGGCTGGGCAGAAAGCAGGACCCGAGGCCGGTGGGGCCTTGCGGTGGCCCCTGGAGCCTTTCGAGGACTTTTTCCTCGCGTATTCCCAGCCGGTCCCCTCTCCCCGCCGACTCTGCCCCCGACGGCGTTTGTGGCCAGGTCTCGGCTGCCGTGGGCCCAGCCACGCTCCGTGCAGGTTGGTCCGAGCCTCTCCGCAGGCCTGCACTCGCCACCCAGTTAAGAAGCTTAAAAACTTCGCCTTCGGGGTGAATCGGACGCAATGCAACTAAGACCAGTCCTCACGCGGTTTAAAGCCAGCCCGCACTGGGATCCGGGGTCGGTCTAGGACTACCCAGGGCCGTCGGCCTGGGACGCTGCAAGCAACTATTTGCTCTTGCGTGTTCCAGGCCTACGTGAAACGAGGCGCGTGCCGGGCCTGGGACGGGGCCCGGGCCCGGGCCCGGCGGGAGGGCGGACCCCACGCCGTCTTCAGCCTCCCGCCCACACCCTTGAGAGGCGCGGCGGCCCGGGCTTTCTCGTCCCACTGAGGCCGGGACCAGTGTGAGGAGCACGGGCCGGAGGGAAGCTCCGAGTTCCTGCTCCTTCATTACTTCGCTGCCTCTCCTCCCCCACCATTTCTTTCTTTCCTCATACTTGCCTTTCTCTGGCCTTCCGTCACTAAGTAATTAATTAGGAAATTAATTCACAACTCACAAGGCGTCGGACCCCCAATGGGTAGGGACCCAGGGACCACCTAACCGGCCCTGTCTTGCGGTTCCGTGCGGAGAAGGATGAGGTCCCCGGCCTCAGCCCTGGCCGGTGCTAGTGTGTGTGAACCAACATATATCCACGTGTGAGGCGTCCGCATTACTGGAAAAGTTCAATGCAACATTTTAGTTCCAACTCTGCCGCTGGGTTTGCCCCTTCCCCTACTGCTCCTGGAGCTGCCCGGGGCGCGGGGCTGGCTCGCCGGCTGCCGGATATCGGAGCCGGAGCTGCTCCCCTCTCCCGGCCTCACCCTTGGGCGATAAAACTGTCTCTCTGGCCGTGAAAGAGCATCACCTTGCCAAAATCAACTTGCATTTTCATGTATTCAAATGAGAAAGATTGGGAAGGGCGACGTGCTCTCCTGGGCAATCTCTAGCCGTGGAAGGGAGCGGTGAGTGTGACTTGGGTCCCCGCAGAGAGCCAGGACCTCTCTCCCGCGATGCCGGGGCAGTGGACAGGGCGCCCGTGTCCAGACCTGGGTCCTTGCAGCCCTCGAGCGTCGCCAGCTAGCTGTGTTCCCCAAGTTACCGACTGCTTTACTCACATCGGTCAGGGCGAGCTCGAGGAAGTGCCGGCCTCCAGCTAGTCTCTCCGCACCCCCACTGTGCGTCCCTGGAGCCCCATCTCTTCTCATTAGGGCCCATACTTCCTCCGGCTACTTGAAAACCGCTGGGATTGGGGCTCTAGGGGAGGGAATGGAAAGGTACACTTAGACACAGAGTTGGAAAATTAGGGAAAAACGCAACAAAGTTTAGGCCTGAGAGCAGAAAGGGTCTAGAGTAGCTGAGACCTACTATGTGTCACAGACTGGGGCGAGGCCCTTTGAGATTCCGGCGTTCCCCCCCCCCCACCCCCCACTTGCTGCATGGGGTGGGGTGAAGGGTGGCAGAGAGCTGGGAGACTGGAAGCCTGGGCCAGGGTAGGTCGGAACCTCGACTCCTCTCCACAGAGAAACGCGCGCTGTTGTGAAGCTGTGATGGAAACTGAGGGTTTCCATCAAAGAATGCCATCTCTTGCCTTGAGGAGGCCAGCTTAAATTTAAATCCATCCTGAACAGTCTGCCTAGGCGCTGACCACCCCCCTCCCATCCACTCCTTCCCCCGCAACACACCTGAGGAGCTTTCCCACGGCCCCTTGAAAGACCTGATAGTTTAACTTTGGCTATTCAAATGTGATTACCCTCAAATTTAAATAGTTCTGTTTAACAAAGCCTTTGTAACAATAAAAATAAGTCATCCAACATACAGAAAAAGAGGTAAAGATGCATTCTAGCCAGGCTGTTTTTCATTGTATTGGCTTTCTGATTCTCACCTAATTTTAAAATTGTTCTTTGAACTGACAGAAGACTAATTTATTAGAAACGCTGGAAGGTGGTTACATTCATTATTTAAAATTAAAATTTGATTCAAGGATACTGTTCAGAGTGGCCTCTGGGACTTCAGGAGCTATCCCAGACTAACATCAGAAGAAAGTTTTGTTTTAACTTTAACGAATTGTGCAGTTGTTTGAAGTTGTTTCATGTTTCTTGTCCTGTTGGCCACAGAGCAAAACCACTACCTAGCTCATGTGGTAAGTTTGCTTCTAA